TTACAATACCATGTTGGTTTCGATAGTCACATTAACTAACTGCAATAACTGCAAATTGAAACGATGGTGGTGCAGAAAGTAAACTGGAAATATTTTTCTTTATAATTGGGGAAAGTCAGTACTTTAACTCGACCAAAGAAGATCATCTGCTTAGTAGCATACGAAATAATAATAAAAAAAATTGCAGTACTTTGTGAAGAAAATTATATGTTAACATTAAAGCGTTGCACGTTGTTTTCAACTTCGGATTTGAGAATTTCTTACATCTCTTGTAAAATAAAATTCTTTTTAACATGTGTGTGGCGCCATCTAGTAGCTACATTTAAAACTATTTCATGTAATGGATAGTTTTATGCGGAGAAGTAACACCAAGTTACGTTTGTGCGAAATCGTTATATTTTGTCCAGATAACAAAATATGACGATTTGCCCTTTTGATTTTGCAAAACTGTCCTTTTTTCATTGTTTGGGATTAATTAAAAGGTATGTTTATAAGAATAAGATTGATTTAATTTTCAATTGGGTTGCTTTGAATGATATATAACAATTTTCTATAAATTCAGTATAAAATTTTATAATATAAATACGTATGGCACGTACTCATCAAGTTTGTTTTACTAAATTTTCCCCCGCTTTGAAAGTCCCATAATGGTAAAAAATTTCATTTTTGCTTTGATAGTTAACAATTCTTTCAGCAAAATTACATAAAAATGAATTTTTTAATAATATTACATTCAATAAAATTTTCACATTGAATTTGAACTATTATATATATATATATATATAAAGTGGGAAATGTTATATAACTTATGACGTAATTATTTTCTTAAATGCATTAAAAGCTAATGTTTGTAGAGTTTTTGATTGTAAAATTTATTGAGATTAAGAAATTTAATTATTTAATCTCTCAAAAGAAGAAGGAAAATAAAATATCAGAAATGATAACATGGAAACAGTAGATTATCAGAATGTAAATGGAACAAAATAGAGATATATCGATAAATAAATTAATTCTTTTCTTAAATTAGAATGCAGTTTTTAATTTAGTTTTAACGTAAAACTATTAAAAATCTGAATAAATAAGTTTTTCAAGAATTGCCAGAGCTAATATCGAGTTATACGAAGATTTAAAAATTAAGTCCGCATGTCACAAATTAGTGAAAATTCCTTAGCCTAATTACTGGGCTTCCCTCCTCAACATATTGTTATGCACATCTTTTCTCCTTCTCCATCAAAGAGGTAGAAAATTGTATTTTCATCTTGAATCCTTCGTGATCGGTTATTTCTTTTTTATTCATTCTTTGTGATCAGTTCATTGTTTCATCACTCAATTCTTTCTTTTTCATATTAACATTTCCAGCGCCATGTTTGTGTACTATTTACTAAAATATCCTTTAGAATGTGCTATACGATTATGAAAATTAATTATTTTAATTTTTTTTTTCTGTACAAAGGAAATATTGCTTTTTATTAAGAGCTACGACCCTGAAGCATTTTACAAGTTTTCACTAGGAATTTAACATAAAACTTTATTTTTTTTAAAGAAAAACTTTAATGCATGGGACAAACTTATTGAAGACATTACCTCAACTAAGCCAATAGTCAACAAGTGGGTCTCATAGTCATAATAGGTCACGCCCATTTCAACAAAGGAAATATATATATAAGATAGATAATAGAAGATATATAAGGTATTTTCTGCTTCTTTCTAGCTTGCTTTCGTGGTGTAACGGCTAGCACACTCGGCGCGTATTCGAGAGGTCCAGGTTCGAGTCCTGGCGAGGTTACTGCACATTTTACACATCTCTTGCTTCATAAAACCGTAATCACTCTACACATCTTTATGTTGCATATTGGGAAAAACCATGATAACACCCTAATCCAGATAATCCGTTCTTTTGTATTTAAAACCGAGTTTAGTGTTCAGAAAATCGAGTTTAGTGTTCAGCGATCTAATCCTTTGTCCCTCATGCTAAGACGAGCACTTCTGCAGGAGATTAATTCGTTTCGAACCGTAGATATCATCTGAGAGAAGTTTTATTGCTGCTACTAAAGTATTAAATTGTAAGTATTGCACATTTGGAAACATTTAATTCGTCACAAACGAAATAAATTAAGCATTATTCTAGGTGCTGATATTTCGACATAAGTTGCCTCAAAATAGATATCTTGATACAAGCTGTCTGAAAATAGATATTTTGATACAAGTTGATATTTTGATACAAGCTGTCTCAAAACAGATATTTTGATACAAGCTGAGAAAAGCTGTCTCAAAATAGATATTTTGATACAAGCTAATATTTTGATACCAGCTGTCTCAAAATAGATATTTTGATACAAGTTGCCTCAAAATAGATATTTTGATACAAGCTGTCTCAAAATAGATATTTTGATACAAGCTGTCTCAAAACAGATATTTTGATACAAGCTGTTTTAAAATAGCAAATTGTCTTTGTCGGTATTAATAGCAATTTTTTACTCGTAATTTCCTATTTACAAATGATGAAGCTTGTCTAAAGAAGTCTGTACTTGTAAATAACTTTCTTCGAAACTAAAGATGTTAAAAATGGATTAGCTATCAAGATCTGCAAACTTAAGTTGTATGCAAACTGCATAGAAAACAAGCTACTAGGTGGTAACCATCGTTTAAACCAGAGCAGGATTCATCCGGTTCGACGCTACTACTTCCTAAAAGATTTTAGTTCGGCAAGCCGGTTGTAAACATTGAGTCATAAAATTTATATATTGGCAGATCATTGTGACCTAGTAGCTAATTTTATCACATTTTTAGTGACGAACCAGCTGCTAAAATATTTGAACCCTAAAATTGTTTACAACCCATTCCGAGCACGACGAGCAATTTCTCGAAGAATGGCATTCACTGGATTTAAATGTTACAGATGACTGGATTATGAGCATTCTCGATTGTTATAATCCATAAATATCTTTAAAATCATTTGCATCTTAATAATCTTTAAAATCATGCATTTTTCCCCAAAAATTGTTTTTGTATCATTCTTTATTTAGTTTTTTCAGTATATGTAATATTTTGTGTCTTCTCAATACAAAATGTTGCATGTTCTTTGAATTCATTATATGCTATTTTTTTATCAATGTGTATTTGCTTATACTTATAGTTTATACTTTTTGTTTAATATGCATCTTCGTTCATTCTGGGCATTTGCCCACTATCTGCTGAGCGGTAAGGTCGCTGAACACTGGTAGTTCGGTCCGGAGCTCGAATCCTGGCGCGAATGGGATGACTGCGGTGTCCGCCGAAAACATCGCGGCAAAAACATCGCGAACGAAAACGTCGCGGAGAAAACAATGCAAGGCGAAACCGTCGTGGTACAAAACATCGTGGGAGAAAATAAAGCAAAGAAAAAACGTCGCAGTTCTAAAATATCGTGGCACAAAACATCGTCGAAAATAAAGCGGTTCAAAACTTTGCAATTTAAACATCATTGAAGAAAATATGGTGGTAAAAAATAAAGTACCTACAAATCATCGCATGACATTAACATCGCAGACATGCGTTTCTCAGGCTTTAATAACTGTAAAATTTAATAATTCTTTAATAATTGTAAAAATTCGCATAATGGTTTGTGAGCGCAAGATGTAAAGAGGGATAATTTTTTACTTTCATATTTTTTATTAACTAATAAATATTTGCTGAAAATGTAAAATGGAAACTTAAGTATGGAACTTAATGCAATTTATAGCACTTAATAGAATTTCAAACTGACGTATTTAACTAACAAAGGTCATTAATAAAATATTTTTAGAAGTTTTACTGGTAATTTTTCATGAAAAATATTATATAAAAAAAAAAAAAAGATAAGTAAAAAATTGCTAAGTTAATTATGAGATCATTTTCTTCCCTTTTGTTAATCTGATACTCTTATAATGAAAATTACTTCTTGTTTTATTTAAATTTCTTGTTTTGCTTTTTTAAAAATGTATTATTTAATAAAAAATATGAATGTGAAAATTATTCTTCTTTCCATTTTGCCCACACTAATCATTATGCGAATATCCATTTGCAATTATTAAAGCCTTAAAAATCATGTCTGCGATGTTATCGTCATGCGATAATTTGTAGGTGCTTTATTTTTTACCACGATATTTTTCGACGACGATGTTTTTAAACTGCGAAGTTTTTGAACCGCTTTATTTTCGACGACGATATTTTGTACCACGACGTTTTCGTCCATAATGTTTTTGCCGCGATGTTTGCGGCTGTAACGGACGACTGCATACACGTTTTCGTGTTTTTCTTCATGTGTAACGAGTATACGAGCAGTTTTTCTTCGCAAGTCCTCCACGATGACATCCCTACCCCAAGCTAGCCTTCGAATGCTTTGTCAAAATCAAAATAAAGCAAACCAAAAACTTTCTAGACATTTGTGAATTTATGAAATTTTGTAAACGTATAAAAGATTTCCACAGGAAAATTGATTTGAAAAATGTCTGATTTCGAATTGAAAAATTCCTTTTTCATAAAATTCTAGAAACTCTTTTTTAGACTCAAAAAACTGTGTATATTGTGAAGTATGTGTGTGTGTGTTTTGATAATATTTTAGAATGAACTTCGTGTCCATATGAAGTATGTTACAGACACATAAACCTTATTTTAAGAACTTCAGCCGTTTGCGTATAATTAAGAAACAGGCAGTATGTTTAATATTAAAACAATATACTTATATAAATATGTAAATGTTGTTTAAAATCGTCCGGTGGTATTTTATGGCGTCGAACTAAGCCGTAGTCATAGTAAGACTGATAGAAATGTTTTGGTACTTATCTCAATAAATTGCTTAAAACTACTACTGTTCTCTAACTAGTAATACGTTTAAAATAAAAGGAAATAATCTTGAACTATGCATTACTAGCTACGACAGCGCATATTATTTATTTATCTCACTAGAGTATGTGTATTACTGAATGTAAGTTTCATAGGACATGTTACTTAAATGTTGATTATTCCTTTTATATTTTCAGATTCCAATCCATCAAATCATTAATGCAAATTTATATCTGATATGCTGCTTCTTTTTCTGACATTCTTCTGCATGATCTGTAATGCTTCTTCTTTCCTCCAAGGTAAGCATACCTTATTCTTCGTTACTTACTGTATTAATCTTCATTACTTCGTGTTTATTAAGTTTAAATTCAAAACTAAACAAGCCAGAGAGAAATAAAACTTACTTTCATCGTTACTTACTGTGTTACTCTTCGTCGTTACTTTGTGTTTGTTCATTTTAAATTGAAATCTAAACAAGCCAGAGAAAAATAAAGCTTACTTACTTCGTTACTTACTGCGTTATTCTTCGTTACTTACTGTGTTTATTAAGTTTAATTTGAAAACTAAACAATCCAGAGGAAAATAAAACTTGCTTACTTCGTTACTTACTGCGTTACACTTCGTCGTTACTTCGTGTTTATTAAGTTTAAATTGAAAACTAAACAAGCCGCAGAAAAATTAATTTTACTTACTTCGTTACTTACTGCGTTACTCTTCGTTACTTACTGTGCTTATTAAGTTTAATTTGAAAACTAAAAAAAGCCAGAGAGAAATAAAACTTACTTTTATCATTACTTACTGTGTTACTCTTCGTCGTTACTTCGTGTTTATTAAGTTTAACTTGAAAACTAAACAAGCCAGAGAAAAATAAGGCTTACTTACTTCGTTACTTACTGCGTTTATTAATTTTAATTTGAAAACTAAACAAGGCCAGAGGAAATTAAAACTTGCTTACTTCATTACTTACTGCGTTACACTTCGTCGTTACTTCGTGTTTATTAAGTTTAAATTGAAAACTAAACAAGCCACAGAAAAATAAAACTTACTTACTTCGTTTCTTACTGTGTTACTCTTCGTCGTTACTTCGTGATTATTCATTTTAAATTGAAAACTAAACACGTCAGAGAAAAATAAAACTTGCTTTCATCGTTACTTACTGTGTTACTCTTCCTTATTTCGTGTTTATTAAGTTTAAATGGAAAACTAAACAAGCCAGAGGATAAAAAAACTTGCTTACTTCGTTATTTCGTATTTATTAAGTTTAAATTAAAAACTAAACAAGCCAGAGAAAAATAAAAAAATAAAAAGTAAGTTAAAAAATATTTTGTTGCTGTTGTTGTGACTCGCTTTGTCTGATATCAGAACAAACCCAAGAAATACATCGTGGAAAGGGAGCGAGCTTGCGCCTGTCGTTTGCTTTGCGCACTGTACAGGTGACAGTACGACTTTGCTCAGTTCCTACCCACATTTCGAAGGAGAGCACCCAGGGGGACGGTGTCCAAGGGTCACCCACCTTCTTCCCCAACCACCAACCTCTCGAAAGGATTTTTGGATCGCTGCGTATTTTGAGTGCCCTCATACCGCACAGACACCAAACACTTGCAGACGACACACATGCCTTCTCCGGGATTCGAACCCGGGCATTTTGTACGGTAGTCAGAACCACTATCCCATTTGAGCGACAACGGATATTTTTAAATTTTTTAAAATACTCAAGTCACAATTGTAGTGCAGCTGTAAAAATTTTAGTGGTTATTTAATTAAATGAATGAATTAATTAGAGTAGTAGTAAATTAACTAAGTATTGAATTAGTATTAAAAGATAGTAAATTAGCATTAGATTAGTATTAATAGATAGTAAATTAGTATTAAATTAATATTAGTAGATAGTAAGTTAGTATTAAATTAAGTGAAAATTTTAGGGGAACTGTTTATAAGTCTACATAACGTTTCGATTTTATGAGTTATGTTTTGTTATTTTATATGAAACCCCTGATTATCCTAAAATGCCTCTGAGAAATTATTTTTACAAATTTGAATTACAAGTCAAAGAGATTTAGATTCGCAAATGAAGTGAATGAAGTGGAACTAGCAAATAAATTATGCGTAAATTTATATTTTTTTTAAAGATTTTTCAAATTCCTTGAAATAAGAAAATCAAATTTCTTGTAAATAATAATTTAAATGATGTGTTATTAGCAATAGAAATGTAAAGTTTATCTCTTCTTCATCTTTTTAGACCTTATTAAGAACTATGCGGAATCATAGATATACTTTTATTGGTCACATCTGTTCCTGAATGACTTTATAATATTAAAAATATATATATATTTTTAGAGCTAAATCATACAGTTGAAGAATGCGATAAAGGTAGAATACGAACCTACAAACTGTTTTCTGAAAGAATCTATATTTATAAGAGTCTGCATGTATGAATATTTGATTTTATTTTTAAAAAATGTGAAAAGGAATTTCGACAAATATTAATTTTAGCTTTCTCCTAAAATTGGGCTTATTAAAATGAGTCAATGACAATTGACTATTGTACAATATTGTAAGCTCTAATATTTTATATCGTTCGATTCTACACATTCTTCTGATAATTTATGGTATGCGTTTGACATTTACATTACAGGATTGCGCAAAAGCACCTTCACTATTTTAAATTAAAAGAAGTCTAAGATATAAGGTATTTTCTTCCCCATTTCTGCATGCCTTCGTGGTGTAATGGGAGCACACTCGGCGCGTATTCGAGAGATCCAGGGTTCGAGTCCCGGCGAGGGCACTGCGGATTTCTTCAGTTTTCTGACACTGAAAAATTACAAGTTACCCTATAGTGGCGCCCGAACTAAAAGGTGATGGATGGTGATTCTTCACCACGAGGATATGGCGATTGGGTTCCCTAATCCCCAGTCGCCCTTGAAAAGGGGGTATAATAAGATATTTCCTCTCTCATTTCTGCGTGCCTTCGTGTTGTAATGGTAACACACTTATTTTACACTTCTTCAGCATCACAAAAATCCTAATAACTTTACAATGAAAAGTTACGTAAATTTATATTTTGGAACTCCTAATACAAAGTGTGTCTCTTTTGGTAATGTTTTTGTTTACGAAATATGATGTGTAACAAATGATCTCCCCTTTCGCAATGACATGTTCTGAGCTCTTTCTAGCACATCTTCCTGGTCCTCTTCTCCTGCTTGCATCTTCTACTGATCCTGTTTTTTCAAATTTGAGTACAAGTTGCAATATTGTATGGTCAGAAGGAACATATCTGACATTAAAATATCGTTCGAAATTTTCTCCGAGTAGAAATAATGCTGCTTCCGTTTTCTAATATATAAAAGGTACGATCTTTATTCTTTCTGCAATATGTGTAGCGCTGCATATCAGAACTCCCAAACATTAATTTTAATCTAAGAAAGAGAGTGTCGATAAGTATTAATTCCAGAAAGACTTATTGAAATTAAAAACCGTGAATATACTTTTGCTCCACCCCGTAGAAATCCAAACTCCTTAAAATATCGAACTGATAATTGGAGGATTCGTGACTTCGAATCGGCCGATCCCCTAGGATCATAATCATAAGATTAGCGCAGGAGTTTATTTTTAAATATTTATTTTATCTTTAAGTATTTTAAAACGTTTAGATTTAATTTAGTTTAGTTTAGATTTAGTTAATAGTTAGTTTAGATAATTTATATTAAATTAGTTTAGATCAGAATTTCTTAAACTGTGGATCGTGACCTCATGGGGGTCGCCAAAATTTTTAGCAGTTTTGATATTTCTATAACTTATTATCATAATTTTACAATTACCAAATATTTGTACACAATGAATACAATACAGACAGGAAAATAGATAATAGAATACAGGCAAAGAAAAAAACGAAAATGTTTCGACGCATTCTTTTTATAATAGAAACGTTCATTTTCGTACGTGACGCTGTCATTTCGTCTGTTACTTATTTAAAATGTTCACATTGTTCTATGTCTTAAATTAGAAATTACAGTTAATGACCTAAAACTGCAATAGTATATTACAGTAACAAGCGAAAAAATTGACGATTTCACTCACGCGTTTGTCGGATTTGCGCAATATGCGTAATATTTATGGGGGTCCCACAAAATTTTCTTAAATATTATGGGGTCCTGGGGTCTCGAAAAAATCTCAGTGATGAAAAGGGGTCGCGACTGAAAAAAGTTAAAGAAACCCTTGTTTAGATTAAAGTTTAGATAGTTTAGATTAAATTAGTTTAGATTTAGTTTAGATTAAAGTTTGGATAGTTTAGATTAAATTAGTTTAGATTTATTTTATTTTACTTTAGTTTTCATTTTAAGAAAGTTTATTTTTAAATATTTATTTCATTACATCTAAGACGATGATTTACATTTAGCACTTACATAATGTACAGATTTATTGCAAATATAAAGTAAATTTATAAAGTCTTAATTCAATTCTTCGTCTTCTACCACCTTAACGCACAACTAAACCAACTTTGTGTATAATAATTTGTAGTACTACTACTTTATAGTACTTTGTGTATAATAATTTGTAGTACTGTAGAGACATTAAGTATTTTGTGAAGGCCGGAGAGATGAAAAATTAACTACCGCCTTCGCCGGGAATCGAACCACGGACCTCTGGAATACCAGCCCAGTGTGCAGAGCCACTACACCACGAAGGACGCTAGGAAAGCGGGAGAAATACCTTATAGAACTACTACTTTACTTTAGTAATTAGTGTATAATAATTTGTAGTACTAATACTTTACTGTATGTATTTTATCAGTTCTACACAGTAGTGCCAAGCAACGAATATTAAGCACCTGTATATGTAATTTCACTGAAAATACGTATAAATAAATAAAAGTTGGAATGTTTCGTGTAACCGTCAGTTGATGAAAGATGGTGTGTAGAAGAAGATGAGAATTTTCTGGAATGAATTATTTCTCTCTGCCTCTCATGAATAAATACCAGTAGCATGCCTGAATTCGCAAAACTCAATCACCTGGCTGGATTTAGGGCTAATAAAACATCTTTCTTCTTATCCCTCTAGGACTGGCAATCTTGGAATTTTTATGCTCCCATCTCACCCATCTCCAGAATGTGTAAAATGAGAGCGAGCAATTTATAAAAGCGGAGCTTCAACAAATAAAATTTAATTTATTGCTCAGTCTTTCTTCGCGTTTAATGAAATCCTCGAAGGAGTGAATTAAAAGACATTTTATAGCTCCAATTAAGTCTGAACGGGCAAGCAGAGATTTCTCACTGACGCGTTTGAGTAAAAGGAATTTAAAACAGTGGGGAAAAGTTGTGTTTTAGTCTTCATAAATTTAAATTTCTTCGCGTAGATTACTTCCGTTCGTATGTTTACACGATGATTCTGCTAAGTCAGGCACCTTGTAATTTAATCTAGTTATGTTAAATTAAATACGTACTACTCGTACTAAAACGTACCGGATATATAATGGCTAGTACTTTCGTAAAGGATTCTGATAATTAGTTACTAATTAGTAATTCACGGACTCACGTGCCTTTATAGTTTTTATTTGGGACGTAACAGTTGAATGATATGTCAACTTTCAGAGAACGACTGAATTAAGGAGTTGTGTAACCGTTCAGCCATAAACACAAACGCCAGCTAGTTCTATAAGTACAACAACGCACATATAGTTACCAAAAAAAAAATAAATAAATAAACATCAAAACAGAATATACACCAAAATGGAACACCTAAAATTTATAATCAAAGTTCGAGTTACGGACACTTAAATCCAGAAAATTAGCAGAACTCTAACAAGAAAGGTACATTTAAATTTTGTTATTAATCCAAAAGGCTATTAATTTCGTTTTGGAATTTTGCGTTGGTTCACTATAAATGTTGGTTCACTTTTCAAATTATTGCCACCAAATATTAGAGCCCTGTGTTATATTAAAAAAAAATTAAATAATGAAGAATCTACAGAGGCTGTTCACACATTTTTTAGACGATGTATATTGTATTCACAAAACTAAATTACATAAAATTCTTGTGTTTTAAATGTTCTATTTGACATCCCTTATTCGGAACTATCTTTCGACAGCGCAATTTCCAGGATAATAATGCCTTTTGAAGTGGCAGAAGAGGTATTCTATCCCATTTCTCCCGAACAGCTTTCCGGAGTCCTGTTAGGGTTTGGGGACACGTTTGGATAATGCAGTTTTTAAAAGTCTGAAAGCAGAAAAATCCATAGGTGACACATCGGGAGATTTAGTAGGGATATCAGTGAAAGGTATGGCCTTGATACCAGTTTTTTTGTTCCATTTCTTTCAGGAAATTTACAGTGGATTTTTGATGTGCGACTGCTAGCTTTGTCCTGATGGAGTCTCACAGATGGATGGCATTGTGGGTAAAGCGATAGTATTTCATTCAGAACAGTTGGCGATAAAATATGTTCCTGATAGTATTTGGAGTTAATCTTGACATTGTTTTGCATTCTCTTTATTTTTAACTTGCCGTTATAAGAAAAACCAGCAACCATCAAGAATCCCTTAGAAAAACTTTCTTTCGATTCTTTGAACCATGTACTTAAATTTTTTTCTCCCCTTTTATGATAATAAATGGCTCTTTTTTTGTTAATACACCCATGCTTCATCTATTGTGACAACTGTTTTCCATTTTTCTTTGATAAGTGTTTCTTATATAGAATTCTGCAGCGTGTCCTGCGTCGAGCGACATGCTTTGGAAGAAGACGATGCACATTGCGTTTTTTCGCTTTTTTAAGATTTAAATCAACGTTTATCATTTTGTTTACAGTGGACACCGAGAATTTTAATGATTTTGCAACTGTCCTTTGACTAGGGAGATTTTCTTTTAACATTAAACAATGTACCTTTGCAACAGTCGAAGATGTCCGTTTTTTCCTTGGATACGTTTTTGGAATTTTTGTCCCATTGAGGCTCTAATTTCATGTTTGTTTCCTTTCTTGTTGATGACATTACCTATCGACGCTTTAGATATCACAAAACCATGACCCTCACATCGTTTTTGGATAGCGGAGTATGCATATTTCTCTTCGGAAAGAGCGTAAATGCAGCCTTCGAATCACTGCTTTGTTAAATTCGCCATTTTGTATAAAAATAAAACTTTCAAGCCACAGACGATAATTTTGACTTTTAAAAATATAGTACAATTGCAATTACTTCTTTTGCAGCAAATTATATTTTAGTACCGCTTACCAAAATCGTCTAAAAAATATGCGAACAGCCTCTGTACATAAATGTGTAGGGTTTTTCTTAATTTGCATAACAAATTTATTTTAAGTTTACCTGTTCTCAACTTTTCAAACTTCCCCTCACATTCTCTCGCCAGGATGTAAATTTTAAGTTAAGTGAAGTACTATTTAAACGTGTAATTATCTCAGTTTTATCGCTAGCCTAGCGCACGTTTCGTTGTTATTTCGCGGTCATTCGAGTAAGCCCTTGTGGCCTTCTCAGTTTAGTATCACGCCGGTTAGATCTTCTGTGAGTCCATCTCTTAGGAGTAATTTTGAAGTGCGTTCTTGCACTCGTTTATTTTAAGATTTTTGATTTGTATTCTAGTCTACGTTTTAGTTATCGCCGCAAGTAGATTGTGTTTTTGTAACGCACGAAGTCCGTGCTGTCTGTTATTTTAGTTTGAGTAAATAAAGGATTATTTTTCACCCTTCTTCTGTGCTGGTATTTATTTCACACCTCTGCGAGAATTCGCCAGGTTCATCGTAGGATCTAAGTTAGTGCATGTGGAAAAGTAGAGATAGGTCTTACAAATGTATGTATGTTTCTCGCACTGTGATGAAATAAAGGTACCTAGAGCCATCCAATTTTGAATAACGTGATCTTTTACCGAGTATGGGCATCTGAAAGCCCTAATTTGGAATTTGGATTGTACAATTACTCCAATACATTTAATATTTTTTAACATTTCAACGAATTTTTTATTAACAAACTCAACGATTTCAAAGCGAGCAATAGCAAAACTGTGCGGGGGGGGGAATCTCCAGCGCGCGAGACTCTGTATCGGTAATTCTAAAGGTATGCTCATTTTAAAATTAGTCTGCGATATTGCTATTGAATTGAATTTTATGGTTTAAGTGCGAAGAACATTTAATAAATAAAGGTAACACACGAAAGGTTATAAAAAGAAGGTCCCTTTGGGTGTAATGTAAAAGCTAAATGCTTTCAGATTTTTTTAAATATGTTTTAATGTGCCTACTAAATTAAATTATGGCTTCTATTAGCAAACTGAATGCATATTTTAGTGATAATTGTTTGAATAGATTAACTAATATTGTTGATTAGAATGTATTAGTTTCAGTTCTCAAGTAACAACAACAGACGGTTTTTCTCCCCTCATCCCTAGCGGAAATCTAGGCTATATGATTCATGACGTATTATGTCAAATCGTTTTTTTTTTAAACATTTTATTCGTTTCAATTTTTTTAAAAAACCGTATTTAGTCAGTTTAACTTCCTTATATAAGTTCAACATAAAATTGAAATACATGTTTCTAATATGACAATTCGATGAAATCAGAAAATAAGAATGCATTTCTTTTTTTCTACGCAGTAGGCTCGTCTTCGGGCTTACAGGAGATAAGCGGCAAGTGCCCTTCAGGGCAATTTCCGTGCAATACCACTGACACTTGTGTTGAACAGAGGAAAAACTGTGATGGACATAAAGATTGTGAAGATGGCTCGGACGAGATGTGGTGTGGTAAGTCGTAATATTCGCTTTTATCGCAGTAATAATCCTTTAAAAGTGACTAATAAATAATGATAGTCCGGAAATTTTGAAAATGACCTGCGCAGGAAGGAAATCGACTTTCACAGGACGAATTTTGCATTTTTTAGGTTTTCCACTTAACTGCTAAATATTTCAAATATCGTGGAAGTTTATATATATGTAAAATTAAGTTCAAAAGGAGCAAAAAATATGATTATCCTACCTGAGGAAAAAAAGGTTTAGGGTAGGAAATATTTAAAGTGGTCTTAAAAGTGGAAACTTAGAATAGTCAAAAATGGCTATCTAAGCTTTTTACACGGGGTGTTAACTCTTGTTAAAACATCGATGAAATCATTAAAATTAAAGCAGCTATGAAAAACTAAATTAGCAAGTAAGAAAACTAATTACCCCTATTCAGGGTGTCAAGCAGAACTTGTCAAGGAGTAAGTATTAAAAACGTTAAATCGTTGAATAATGAGTGCTGAATAACGTGTTTTTTCCTCTCGAATCTGCAATTACTGTTGTAAATGCAAAAATGTTGTTACTGTCTGTAACTGTAAAATGTTGTAAATTAATTAGCTTTTTGCAAAATTATTTCTCAGGTAGTCTTTCCCTGATGAGTCATTCAAACTCTTTGAATTAAAATTAAAGTAAGAATAAAAACTTTATCAAAGTAAAAATGTTCAAATAAACAAATTAAAGTTAAAATATGTAAAATACGAAAATAAAAAAGTAAAACTGTAAGGAAAAATGTTTAACTGATCTTTCTACCTCATCTAAATAGGCTCGAACTAAAATTAGCATTCTGTCAGTAAAGCAAAATAGTTACTGGAAAGCTGCGTAGCATAAAATAACTGTTCATTTAAAATAAATAAATAGTTTACAACTGTTGTAGAGACATTAGGTATATTTGGAACCAGAAAAGATGAAAAATTAGCAACCGCCTTCGCCGGGAATCGAACCACGGTCCTCTGGAATACCGGCCCAGCGTGCAGAACCACTACACCACGAAGGCACGCTAGGAAGGCGGGAGAAATACCTTATAGAACTACTACTTTACTTTAGTAATTAGTGTATAATAATTTGTAGTACTAATACTTTACTGTATGTATTTTATCAGTTCTACACAGTAGTGCCAAAGCAACGAATATTAAGCACCTGTATATGTAATTTCACTGAAAATACGTATAAATAAATAAAAGTTGGAATGTTTCGTGTAACCGTCAGTTGATGAAAGATGGTGTGTAGAAGAAGATGAGAATTTTCTGGAATGAATTATTTCTCTCTGCCTCTCATGAATAAATACCAGTAGCATGCCTGAATTCGCAAAACCCCCTTTTAAAGGGCGACTGGGATTTTTAGGTGACCCAATCGCCAAATCCTGGGTGCTGAGAGTCATCATCCACTACCCTTTTAGTTCGGGCGCCACTGTAGAGACATTAGGTATGTTTTGGAAACAGAAAAGATGAAATATGAGCAATCGCCTTCGCCGGGGAATCGAACCACGGACCTCTGGAATACCGGCTCAGTGTGCTGACCGCTACACCACGAAGGCACGCCAGGAAGGGTGGAGAAATACCTTATAGTGTGATCGCGTGTTGGGGCAAGTAGAGGGTAATCATGTGCCAGACAATTTTTTTCAGGTTTATATTCAATCTCTCCTAAAGAGAATGCTGTTTTTTTTTTTTCTTATTTCAAATAAATAAATTTGATTTACAGTAGCTTCAAGTCCGGGTGTCTTTTTAAGACACTCTTCATCAATTCTGGCCCTTTTTATTTAGTTTGGGCCTCAGAATATCTCAGCAATCATATTACAGTGCTGAATAGATGTACACGGAATTAAACCACAAAAGTCCTTAGTAGGAATGTCTTGATTCGTTGCATTCTACTCGTATCCACGAACACTAAAAGTATCTGCGGGTGGAAGAGAAAGATAACTCTTTGTGGAACAGTTTATCGTCTGCCAAATTATTACTTCACCAGTGTATGAGATCGAAAACTATTTAATATCGTGAAATTAAAGTTAGTGATCGCAAACGATTTTTAGAAATGGACGAGAGGAAAATGAAATGAAAAGAATTAAATTAAATATCGGCAAAATACTTCCTTAGTTGCTATACCTGGAATAAAGAAGATGGGTATTTGGAGATAGCAACACAAAATCGGAAAAGCTGCATTAAAAAAAAGACTGAAAAGGAGAAAATTTTCCATATAAAAGAATGTATTTTAAATAAATTTTAGAAATTATTTTAATAATAACAATATTAATAATATTGAGGAAAACATTTTTCGTATTCTTTTGTAAAGCTATTAGATTATTTCGAAGCAAGAGAGATGAGCAAAGTCCTCGCCGGGACTCGAACCACGGACCTCTGGAATACGCGTCAAGCGTGCTGACCACTACACCACGAAGGCATTCTAAGAAGGCGGGAGAAATTCCTTATACGTTATGTTTTGAAAAGGTGCAAAGGACTCTTTTATTTGTCTCAAATCAAAGGTAGCAGGAGGCACCATTATTGCCTACAAGAAGCGATCGTATATGGGTTAAATCAAACGTAAGGGAATTAACTAAGTAAATGTCAATTAGCACAACGACTACATGGACGAGCTTTGAGTTAACTTTGGCATGAAAAGTGTAATGGCGAGAATAACGCAGTGCCGCAGAATACAGGTTTCAAGACATTCAAATTAGCAACGTTGCCTTCAGAAAGCGGAACACGGTCTGATTCTACTTCTCCTTTCTAGCTCGTTTGAATTCAAGCGAGGTAGAAATTTACATTTTGGCAGGAAAATGGGAAACGGAAAGGACAGAAAAGCGTATTAACATAAAATAACTGATTAGTTAAATTAAACATATATTTTACAGATTAGTGTTTCTTACCTGAAAAAAAAAATGAAATTTTCTCTGCATATATGAATGATTTCAACTGGCAGTAGATTAATGTTCATTATTTTTGCAGTCGAGAAAAAGGAAAATCCGTTTAAAGAAAATTACAACATGGAAGCTTCTTTTGTTCAATTTATTTTAAACAGAGTTTTTGACAGGATTCCTTTTCAAAGTAAAGCTATTGATTATTCAAAGCTTGATAGTGAGTGAAATTTCCCCGCGGGGTGGCTCACATCCCTTTTGTTTTCTCATTTTTCGGGAACCTTCATTATTTTAAATCCACCTGTTTGTGACTGAAACTTGAAGCTCTGGTAAAATATGTATCCCTATCCTCAATTTAGAGCTGGAATTATGTTTTATTCACATTTAAGGGCAAGGAAATCAATTTTATTTTCTTTTCTTTAGGGAAACCTATTACCTCGGCAGAAATTTTTTCTCTTAATCGTAGTGATAAATCGGAATTTAGATTTCTGATCTTTCTCTATAACTTATGCAGACGAATTTAGGTTAAATATTTGTATAATTGAAAAATGTGGGAATTAAAAGCAATTAAAAAATAAATATTGCAATTGTTGAAGGCCTTAGGAAAGTATGATTGTTTTTTTTTTCTACGCTAAAAATTGTAAAGTATTCATTTATTTTTCGTAACCAAATATTTGAAGTTAAAGAACTTTCCTGTCATTCTCCTTTTCCGTTTTCCTGCCAGAATGTTCATGCTTAGTTCGCGAATATTAAAACGACGTAGAAAGAGATAATATTTAAAGGAAGGTTTTAGATTGTTGAATTAGAGCGTGTTCCGTCTGCTGAGGCCCACGTTACTCGTTAAATCTCTTGATAGCAGTCTCACTGCGGCGTTGCGTTATTCTCGCCATTTGGCTTGTCTCGCCGGTATTAGGCTGGAGCCAACTTGCGCGTATTCTTTTTGGGTAGTGGACTCACCAGCGGACGAGCGGTAAAGTCGATGAATACTGGTAGTTCGGTTCGAGCCCGAATCCCGCGAACGGGCTGGCTCATGGGCGTTTTCTTGGTTTTCCCCACGTGTATACGGGCCAATTCCTTTAGAAAGCCCTCCACGAAGGCATTCCTCCTCTTAGATAGATAGCTTCTATATCAGCAAAGTATTGCACCAGTATTAATTAGTATTATGTAAGTATTAATACCAGTAAAGTATTCTATCAGTACTGTAACATATACAGTATATTGTATATGCATATTTGTATCAGTAATGTAACAGTCGTATATGAGTAAAGTATTGTATCGGTGTATCAGTATCAGTATTATATCAAGCTTGTATCAGTAGTGTATCAGTCATACTTTGCGTCAGTAATATACCAGTAATGTGTCGATAATGCATATGTGATGTGTTAATTCGCAATAGCTTGAGTCTTTGTAACGTATTATTTAGTGGTTTTATTTATCGACATCTACAAAATCATTCCCATTTAACAATTAATCAGCATTGTATGAGTATTAATACCAGTAAAGTATTGTATGAGTATGAATAATAATATCAGTAAAGTATTGTATATCCATATTGCATCAGTAAAGTATTGTATCAGTATTATATCAGCCTTGTATCAGTAGTGTATCAGTTATATTTCATCAGTAATGTACAAGTAATGTAACAGTAGAACATTGATCTGTGATATTTTAATTCGCAATATTTTGAGTCTGTAACGTTTTATTTCGTGGATTTATTGACCAACTTGTGCAAAATCATTCCCATTTAATCAGTATTTATGATCAATTTTATATCAATGAATCAGTACTGTAGCAGTATTAATTAGTATTAATATCAGTATCAGTATTATATCAGTCTTGTATCAGTTCTGCATCAATAATGTATCTTGAATATTAATTTGTAACTCTGTAACATGTTATTTTGTACGTTCTGTCGTACACGTTGAACACCTTTCAGGTGGCATTATGTATTTTGAAGGGGTGCTATAGCTAGTGGTGGACGTAGTGCTATACTGATTAACCATTTGGTAAAGGGATAGTGCCCACGTCCTCCGTTTTTTCTCTCTCTGAGGCAGATACCCCTCGAGGCTTTATCGTAATCATGTAAAACCAAACTATTCTTTTCGTGTAGCCTTTGGCTAAT